AGGGACCACTCGGATCCGATCGGTAAACAAAGCTTCGGAAGAGGCCTGTCCGTAGCGTTCATCACCGTCAAGCGAGTTAGGGCACACATGAGTTCCTCCTGGTCCACAGTGTGTTCTGATGTGATCAGTTGTAGTGTGGGCTTCGGGTTTCGGTCTGTCTGCCGAGCTGAGGAACGTAGGCGGAGAACAGCACGCCACGAGTTTGTCTGAGTTGCGGAACTCAGTAGTTTAGACACGGTAAGTCTTTCGTGATCCCAGTTGGATTTGTTTGTGAATTGGAACTAGAAAGAAAAAAGATCATATCGAAAAATTATGTAGAAGCAAACATCTCCCTAACATTAGCAGATGACAGAAAACAATCTGCAAATAGTCAAGTAGCACATTGATTTCCGTGCACTGATATGCATACTCCCGGAGGAAAGTTTTGTGTACAACTCCCCACACCATCTAGGTTTCGTATTACCTCTACTTTCGCGGGAAGCAAAATAACCATTTACGATAAGAGTACCGAAGTTGAGCCAGAAACCTGAATATAGCATTTATATTGGTCAGGTTATATTGAGAAAAATATCTGATAAACAATGTGGCAAAAATGTAGTACCACTTGGGGTTCAATGGAAACAGAGTACGTTAGTGTTGCTCAGAGTGGCCTTTCGGATTGAAAACCTCGATATACCTAATGGGTATACATATGGTAGTAGAATATTACGAATCGCCTCATTGTTGACAGACAACCGTTACCGCCTCAGCATAGCCTGTAGTTCCTACCTCGTTTGATCTATAACCGCATTGTATTACAGCCGTTGAGTCAGAATGTCGCAAACGTTCTCAATCGAATATACCTACAGATCACCAAAAAACGTCGTTACAGTGGAACAGGAACTAGCTTTGGACTGGATGTGAGTTTTGAGCTGTGCTATTTATTCTCATCATTATTCCAGCCTATGCATGGCAGCGCACAGCGACGCAGTATACGATCACAGATATCAGATCCGTGAATGACCGTGCATTTCCTTCAAACCGTGGACCGAAAACAAGTCCCGTACGATCAGTGAACTAGTCGCTGATTCGTCGTTTAAAATTATTGATCTATAATATTTAATCCAGAAGGGACCACTGAACAGCAGGTCCTCGTGACTATGGGGTTTACCCCGTCTGCTGTTCATCACACCTAGGTGTGTAATAAAAAAAGCTTCTGTTTCTGGAAAATTGCTTATGGAATTGAAAGTGAAAGGAATCGTTTGGCTTTCTCTGGAGCGACTCATTCAATTTCTTTCTGCTGTGATCGCTTCACAAGCTGCGATACAGTCAGCCGTAATTGATTTAATCAGTTAGCCAGTTTGTGTATACATCGGTCC